TGCTGGACGCGCCCAGCGCCTCTGTTTTCCACTGTCCTTCCAAGGACTCGCGCTGGACCCCCATCCTCTTCCTGGAGTTGAGCTGGATCGCGTAGCCCTGCCCCTGGCCCCACTGCAGGATCTGAGGGCACCACCTGCCTAGAAAGCACGGCTGCTGGGTTCTGCTGTCCTGGGTCGGGACGTGCACGAGGAGCTGCGGTCTTTGATGCAACAGCAGGAAACGGTTCCGCTCTGGCTCTCAGCCCGGACCCTCCTCAGGATTTACTCACAACAAGCTGACCAGGGTCTGCTGACTCCTGCGGGAGGCTGAAGCAGGAGGATTGCCCAGAGTTCAAGGGCAGCCTGAGCTATACAGGGACACTGCCTAAACACATAAACTCCTTGTTATGGTGCGGGTCTAGTTGTCCCCCTAAAGCCTTGTGTGGTTTTAGGTGGGGCTCCTTTGGAGGTGGTTGAATCTAATGTGACTGCAGCATAGTTCTGTGCGGGGATTAAGGGTGGGTGAGGGCTGGATTGGATTGACATCACCCTAATCCTGCTAGAGTGATACAGTGTAAGGGACAGAAAGAGGCTCGTCTTGTGCTCTCTTCTTGCTTTTACTGTATTCTGCCTACCATAAACCTTTGCTCCTCTGCCGCGCCACCCTGCCTTGGAGCCAGCTGATTGCAGACTGCAACCTCTACTAACTGTGAGCCCAGTGAGCCTTTCCTCCTTTAACTTTGGGTGTCAGGTATTTTGTCTCAGCAACAAGAGAAAGGTAACCAAGAGCAGTAAATAACTTTGGTAATGGTGTAAGCCGCTGACTCAGCTCTGAAATCCAATCTGTGCCACAAGGGGTCTGAGAGGCGTGGATCATGCCACCATACTGCCTTCCCTCCACTCGCTAGCGAGGAACCATACTTTAAAACTTTATGGTGGATCGTCCCTGCTGTTTGTCTTTGCATAAAACGTACAACCTACTTCCAGCCGACTGAAACACCCGTCTGCTGTGTGCACTCAATTCTATTTTCCTTCGTGATTCACCGTCAGCCTGGAGGTGACTGTAGCTCCAGGACATCCAGCTGTGCTCTGTGGGGACCACAGCTCCTGCAGCCGCCTGCTGCTGGGCGTTTGACTCGTGTCTCACATTTCCAGCTACAAATGCGCTGCAACAGGCCCCTGCATGCTTATGTCCTTTGGCATTGTTCCAGGGTAGCACTGAAACAGATTCTGTTTCCTTGTTTTCTGAGACAGTCTCACTGTGTAGTCCAGGCTGAGTTTGAACTATCTGTAGGGTGCAGGCTGGGCTCAGATTCACAGCGATCCACCTGCCTCAGCCTCCTGAGTCCTGCGGTGGCAGGTGCGTGCCACAGAGCCCACACCTGGTAGAATAGATTTCGTTTCTTTTCTCTTTCTTTCTTTCTTTCTTTCTTTCTTTCTTTCTTTCTTTCTTTCTTTCTTTCTTTGTGGAACCAGGGATGGAATTCAGGCCCTTGTGCTTGCCAGAGAAGCACTTATTCTACTGGGCCATCTCCCCGGGCCCTGGAATAGATTTCTTAAATGGGAGATTGCATTTGTCAAATACATGTGTAGTTTTGCTGTTACAACAAAAATTCTTCCACAGAGATAAGAACATTTTGCATTTTCTAAATAGCAATAAAGGAGCAGGGCTGCAGCTCTGCTGCACAAGCCCCTGTCTGGCAAGCACAAGATCCTTGAGTTAAATTCTCAGTGCCAAAACAAACAAACAACATATGTGAGCACTGATTTCCTGACAGAAGATAATATTAAAATTGTACCATAAAATATCTGTTCTTTTTTAATGAGACCTTTGGTCTTATAATAGATGAAAAATGGCATTGCTATGTTTTAATTTGCATTTCTTTTAAAATAAGTTTTGTGCCAGCCATGGTGCCACACATCCACTGTAATCACAGCTCTTGGGAGGCTGAGGCAGGAGGATCAATGTGAGCTTGAGGCCAGCTTGGGTTATGTAGTGAGGTCAAGGCCAGCCTGAAGTATAGCAAGATCCTGGCACCAAATACCTTCAAAAGTAAATACATCATAATAAAACAGAGGTTGAGCGTTTTTGCCATGGCTGAGGACTGTGCATTTCTGCTTTGCAGTGGTCATGTCTCTGGCACATTGTCCTGTCAGGGTGTTTGTTCCTACTTTTCTGTTGTTTATGTTTTCTGAAACAGTGTCTCACCATGTAGTTCAGATGGGCCTCAAAATTGAAATGATTCTCTTGCCTCAGCGTCCCAAATCCTGCGATTGCAGGCACGTCATATGTCACCACCCTGGGAGGTCTTCCTTTCGCAATTTTAAAATGTTCTTATGTTTTGGAGACTCTAAACCTTTGTCTACAAATATTTGCCCAAGTTTGAGATCATTATTTCACTTAATGATTTTGTGGTAAAACATTTATTTTTCATGTAATCAAATGGACCAGTCTTTTCCTATACTGTTGCTGAGCATTGATACATACTTTGGACAACAGACTGGAAAAACACCAGCCACAAGAACTTTCTACCTTTACACACATATTTCTGTTAAGTATGACGGGCACATCTTCCCATTAAGTGATGGGGGTCAAAGGAGTGCATCAATTCAGTGCTCCATACACAGTGTTATTTAAAAAAAAATCTCATCTTGGTTCATTATATGCTTTTTTAAATTCTCTCCTCAAGATCAGCAGGGGCTGACAAGTGTCATCCAATACCAGGAACTGAAGAAAGCTTACAAGCACCCAGCACAAGAGGATATTATTGAGGCCAGAATGATTCTCTAGGATTTTAGTGTGAAACTGAAGCAAGATTAAAATCTAGGTGACTAACTTGCAGTCCTGATGTATAAGAAAGGTTGGAATTCGCCATCACTGATACGGCATCTCTAGCTAAGCAGCCTGTCTTCCTCGGTTTATGAATGGTCTTTCCCACTATTTTGAGGAAGTTCAGCCAAGGTAGGAGAGTTTTGATCTGATCTCAGGACGATGTTCTTCACAGCTGAGCTAGTGAGTATGCACATTCTGGGTGCTTTCTGAGAGAATTATTTTCATGAAAGACACATGAGCGAGCTGTGCACAACATCTGTCTAGTAAGGCAGGACACTGATTGCTGCTTCTGTCCCTGATATAGAATCAAGCCATTGTTCTTTGACACCCTCATCCTTGGGACACAATACCAATGGCCAGGAGTGGATTGAAAAACAGAGAGAGAAAAGAGGACTCACAGGCAGGCACACACGTTCCCAGGTCTCCTCCACTGGGCCTCACCTGCACCCAGACCCCACTTCCTAATGGCACATTCAGCCACTGAACTCATCAGGAGTTCTACTGAATCTCCTGAGCAGGACGCGGACTCCAGGCTTCAGGAAGCTTCACAATCATGCTGCTTTGGGGAGACTTCTTAAAATCTAAACAATAACAACACTTCCCCGGCACCCAGTGGATTAATGTCCATCTCATTGTACAAAATGCATTTACTCCATCGATAAGAGTCGACAGCTTCAACAGTGCTGAAATGCTCAGACCCAAAGTGTCTTCTGAGTCTGCAAGCACACACTTAGCTGTGGAACACTCTAAAAATAAAAATCTAGGTAAATGCTTCCAACACCAGCTACCAATTATACGTGGGAAATAGTCTCCTTCCAACAGGAAGAAATATAGGTGTCGAAAGCACTAGCACTGAATAAAAAGCAGAAGTGCCAACATCACACCGTGTGCTTCCATGTCCAGCACCTGGTTAAGTTCTGGTGAGGTGTGTGCTTCTAAGGGTGTGACAGTGCCATCCTCACCGTGTTTCCACTTGGAGACCTCGCGGTCTCTCTGAGGGAGGCTCTTCTCACCGCCTTATCTTTCCTCAGATGTCCCACAGACTTGGCTTCTCCACCACCCTGTTGTGACACTGCACTCTTGTGTTCCTGTTCATAGATTCTTGCACCTCTTCCACAGGGCAAATGCATGGGCTTTCAGTTCTCCCCTTGGAATCTGGGTGACGCATCTCTCTTGCACAGCTCTTCCGTTCTCCATGCCCATAATACCATCACCACGTTGAGGAGATCAAGGTCTGCCACCAGGTAAGCAGGAAATGGGCCCCTCAGCATCGAGACTCTTGAGAATTCCAAGTTCATGGATAACTGGGCACTGCAAAAGAAATCCTGGAAGCAATTCCCTGAGCACTCTTTAAGCATGAAGGATCCAGGTTTTCTCTTTCTAAATGACAGAACTAAACTCTTTCACCTTTGAGGTTGTCATGAATGGGCTGCTGTTAGTGCCTGAGACTGCTTCAGGCCATCGTTCCTGCAGTCCTGATGCACAGACCTTGGTTACTTTATGATGCTAATATTTTCAGCAGGGAGACTTCTGCCCCAGCTTGGTAGGTGCTCTCCCTTCCATGAGAGTGCCAGCTTTTCACATGAGCTTGTTCTTGGTTCTGGTTTGTACTGCATATCTGCAAAAATCAGCCAGGAGTACTGAAGCCACAGCTTAAATATCGGGCTGCTTTCAAATTTTCATCACAAGATTAATAAATCCTCTTTCCTTATTCTGTTTTCTAAAATCTCTCAGGCCACAGATGAAAGTACAAGACTAACATACACGCTGTCTACTCCAAGGACTGTGGAGTCCTTGCTCCTGCCTGAAATCTCTTCACCTGGCCTTATCTCATCACTTGTATAATCATTCCTGTGTCTGGAGGTCTGTCACCACTGCACAGCAAGCAGTGCTCAGCCATTCTTGGGGTTCTCTACCCTGCTTCTCCAAATTGGAATTTAAGGGTTCAAAGTTTCCCAAGATAAGTTACATCCTCATAGCAAACCCCTACAGCACACTTCCACAGATGTCTTCTAACACTGATCAGGAGGGTAGGACTTAATGGGACAGCTCACAATCCATCACAAAATATTTAAGCTATGCTAGGAAACATTGTACAAACCTCAATTCCCTTTGGGTCAAAGGAGAGCAGGGTTTCCTGAGCTGATTTGCATGTTCATTCATTGTACAATGGTCCAGGAAGCTCCAGGCATCTTAAAAGGCAGCCTTCAAGGCCTTTGTGGGCCAACATGTGGGTGCAGCTTTCAACGATGGGGTCTGGAGCTCACCTCCTGCTGTTCCTGCTGCTCTGGGCTCCAGGTAATTGAGGGTCATAGAGGACTGGCCGTGCTCCTCATGGCCATTTTTCTTTTATCTACCTCCAGTATCTCAGTCAATGGACAAAAGCATTTCTTTGAGATATCACATCTAAATCCCCTTAGGTTTCTGCTTACTTAGTGGTATGTGTGACTGTGGTATCAGATGGCATTAATGCTGTCATCCTACTTGGCAATGTCTTGATGAATCTGTTCCAATCAATCATGTGTTTGTCATTCCAGGCTCCGCTGGGGACATTGTGCTGACCCAGTCTCCAGCCTCCTTGGCTGTGTCTCCAGGACAGAAGGCCATCATCTCCTGCAGGACCAGCGAGAGTGTTGATGCATCTTTGGGCGAGTTTGGTAGTATAAGTTTTATGGCCTGGTATCAACAGAAGCCAGGACAGCCTCCCAAAGTTCTGATCTATGAAGGGTCCAGTCGAGCCCCAGGGGTCCCAGCCCGGTTCACCGGCAGTGGGTCTGGGACAGACTTCACCCTCACCATTCAGCCTGTGGAGCCCGAGGATGCGGCAAACTATTACTGTCAGCAGAACAAACAGATCCCTCCCACAGTGCTCCAGCTCTGAACCAAAACCAACCTAGGCAGCTGCTCACTGTGGTTCAGTCTCCCAGAGGGGTCTCTTTTTGCAACGATCTTGGTACTTGTTTAGAGGAAGGGCCCTGACTCTGAAAGGGAAAACGTCTCCACTAACTTGAGCATGGTTGTCCTACATAAGGATTTAAATTTTACTTTGTCCATGTCAAATCAGAACCTCACACAGTATGTCTCAATGCCTTTTCTGGATTCAGTAATAGCTTCTTGACCAGAGAGAAAAATTAACCTTAAAGAACACATTTCTCTCTCACTTCAAGTGAAAAGAATTTTGAGTATTAAACATGATTTTATCTTTTGCATACTGACTCATAATCTACACTGTTTCATTTTCTCACCATTTGTACTTGAGGTAGAGATAAACTGCATTATTTTATAGAACAATAAGAATTGTAACATAGTTGTTTTGTTTATTGATGGAAGTGACTCTATCTTTGCTTTTTTTCTCCCAGGTCCTCTGTTAAAAATTCATTATTTGTCCTTTTCTGGTTATTCAATGTTCATGTCTTTTCTGTCCACTGTCTTCCGTAGTGGTGCAAGGTCATCTTTCCTCTTCATTTTCTCCATGTTCTGACACTATTGGTTGAGTGGAATCCAGAAGCCTAGGGTGCACATGCGCTCCCAGCAAGGGTCAGTTATTGCCTCCCCCAACTAAAGCTGGGTCTCCTCATGTTTCTGCCTCCTCGCTAAAGGAGCTGGGCAACACAACAGAACAATCTTTTACAGAATTTGAAGAAGCTGAGATGCACAGTTTTGTACTTTCCAAGATTACAGTCTTGCTCAGTACTCATCCACATTGTATTTTCGGTTTTCCATCGCCCATAACAATTGTCGCCAACACGATGACTTAAAACTATGTAAAGTTGTAATTGTATATCTTCTGTAAGGCAAACATTAGAAAATTGAGAGTGAGCAAGATGTTCTCAGCGTTCCAGCTCTTGGTCATCTGCTACTCTATACTCTAGTTGAGGGAAATGAACCAAATTAAAGAAATAAAATGAGTAGTTCCTTCAGTGTGTTTATGTATCTTTAGGAACTTGATTTTGCAATGTATCACAAAGTAAATTTCAGAGCATTATTTATTTTCTAGTTTGCACATTGCAGAGATGAGCTTTTCTGCTTTATCTCTTGTTTTATGAATATGTTGCATAACCAACTGATTCTAGTCTTTGCCTCTATCTATTGATTCAAGTCTTGAGGACAGATGTTAGATGCCAGCATCGCAGGCTGTGCCCCACAGGAGGCAGCCACTGTCATCTCCAGAGGGTCTCAGGCGTTTAAGAGGGAGGAATCACCTAGGGTGGTTCTGGCAAAGACCAGCAGAGTTTCCAGTACTTTCCTGTGATCAGCTTCTGAGAGAGCTCATGGGATGCCCTGGGTTGTATGAGAACCTATGTTGTCAACACTCTGTATGACACAAGGACAAACAACTACCACACTCCTGCATGGAAAATCTGCACATTCTGATTTGCCTCATCACAACCATGTCCAGAGACCTTGCTCAGTGGGCCCAGGAGGCATCTTTCCATCTGCACACAGCTGTACTGTGTCTGTGTTCTGGTTCATAGGAATCGCTTAGGTCTGAGTTCCAAAGTCTTGGCTTGTGCTGCTGGGCACCTAAGGAAAATAGAGTCACTGTTGAATAACCTCACAATAGCTTCTCATGGTCACTTCACTTAAAAGCTTGCACTTTATTCACTTCAGCCACACAGCACCTTCAGATCATGCCTTGTCCACGGAGGAAGGCTCGGAAATTCACAGGCATGTGTGTGAGCACCAGCACAAGGAAATCTTCCCAGTGAGTCTTCATATTTGCATTTTCTCTCTAATAACATCTCTCACATCTCCTCTTAATCCACGTTATGTTTTTATAACTAAGCACTAGAGAAGGAATTTTGTAAAACAACACATATGAATTTCTTATCACCCTGCTGCTGAAAAACCCAGTGCATGGTGCCAGCATCTGGTGAGTTCTTTCTTCCTTCATCCTAACATGGTTTAGGGTGTAACATGGAGAGACCCAGCTAGCTTGATTCTCTCCTCCTCTCATAAAATTCTTATGGGACCTCATCTCTGGGATCTCATCTTGTCCCGATTATGTCCCAAGGCTCCACAACTATTTGCTATTGACACAAGGATTTGGGCGTTAAGTGTCCCACATATGAATTTTTGGGGGTCATTTTCAAACCATTGAATTTCCCAACTGTGCAACAACCCTCCTTTGAGTTTTCTTCCTGTAATCAGTCCTTCTGTATCCACTGGCCATGGCCTGGTCTCTCACTAAATTTCAAATCTTAGTCAGTTCCCAGTGTGCTACATACTTGAAATTGAGGTTTTCTCTGGTCAAGCTGCACGAGCGGCAGGTGAACTGCTCCTGTTCTTTATACTTGTACATAATACCTTTATAATCCCTTAGATAGGCAATGACTTCCCATCTATTTTCACAGACTTCTCCACTTTCTTCTTGCCCGATCCTATCCTGTTTTTGAAAGTGCACTCACTGACCTTTTGCTCACTTGATTCAAGTTTGCAATTTCATCTATTCACTTACCAAGTTATCTCTCAGATGAAAAGCATTAAGAGTGCAGGAGATGTTCAGCTTTTTAGAAGCTGCAAAACTTGGTGTGGTTCTCATTTCCTTTGTCAAATATCAGAAGATTTTAGAACAATGAAAACATCAATAAATCTGAAACACACATATTTCTTTTTTAAATTTTTTCCATAATTTTATTGAGAAACAAATAGCAATGAGACAGTTCAAACCAAATTGGTAGGACAGTTTCAATAATTAACACATTGCATACATTCTTCTTAATGGTTAATTGATGTACAAGCTGTGGACATGATATCATATTTACAAACACCATTAGAACAAATCCCTCTA